ATCTTGTGAGTATATCTAAATTTGTAATTATCATTATGTTCGATTGATGATATATCTAATTAATTAACATGATAGATGATTGTTATTAGAGCATTTTCAGCAGTTGAACAAAAAAAAAATGATAAACCTAATGATTATCATGTCATTTTTGTGAAGATTGAGCGCATTACTCATATGCTTTATTCAAGAAATTTTCCTTCTTTGAAATATAATGTTCAATGCCTTCAATTATTATGTGATCTTAAAATACTTTAAAGTTAAGTAGAAAATCAATTGAACTTATTGGAGAAATATATCATCTTACGTATCGTGAATTTCTTTTTTAATAACTTTTGTCCTAAAGTTTTTATTTACGACAGTTAAACGCGAAATTTGAACTTAAGATTTTTTTCAACAAAATAGAGACTGAATGTCATTAGACTATATGGTCATGCACGAAGTTTTTAAAAGTTGAATTAACTGAAGATAACGTGCTTTAAAAAACAATCTTTTAATTCCATATTTCCATCATTCTCCATAAAATTAGAAATAAACTGAAAAAAATAATAAAAATTCATTGAGATGTTTGCTTCCTTTGGGAATTGGATCCCCTCCTGAGGAAATGGTGGGAATCCTCATGATCACATAACACAGACCGTTGAATTTTGATCAAACGATTACCATTATTATAACTTTTAGAATGATTATCTGTTTGTAGTTGTTGAATTAAAATTCAACGACCCGTGTTATGTGGTCATAAGGATTCCCACCATTTGCTTGGGAGGGGATCCGATTTCTTTCCTTTGGACTGAAATTAGTTCATTGTTCAACCCGGTAAATGTGTCGCCACGCTTCCCACGCGCGCGTAGCGTGGTCAGTAAAGAGAAACCGATAAAACTAATTTTCAAAACTTTTCTTACAATAAAATACCGTACAGTCAATAATACCCGCCAGTTTTCTATTGCCTTCACGTGTTTTGTCGAAATGATTTCTTAACTTGTTATGGGCTTTTTCGTCCAGCCAATTAAAAGCCCACAAAATGCAACACCACACATTTACGTAGGATACTCTTATTTTTATTTAGAAAATGATATTATTTACCTTATAATTAGCTAGTAATAATGTAATTTAAATTTACTTTTGATGAGAATCGTACTTAAAACGTCTCATTTTTAAGCAACGAGTGATACAAGATAGTAGTACTCAGTGACATAGGATACTGTTATTTACACACGTATTTTTGCCTCTCAGATATTTTTGGTGATTTTTAGTCGTTAATCTTTTTCAACTTATTTGATTCACAGCATAAATTGAATACACTTATATGAAAAGTAAAATTTAGTATGATATCAATACTATCCGCTGCAAAACAAAATTACGAAAACGGTCATAATTGTGGTCTTTCCCAGAAGCCCATGAGGTGGAGCGTCAATCCGGTTCATTTTTTTCTTTGTCATAAATGTTAGTGTGGAATAAAATTGGAGGTGAGGAAAAGCGGCTTTTGGAAAAAGCAGAAATTGGAGAAAAAAGTCACGAGTCGTAAGAAAAATTGAAGAAAAATTGGGTATCTGAAAAATGGAAAGCGGTTTTTAGCTGTCAATTCATCTTGGAATCTATCTGGCAATTGCCAATGAAGCCCCACCGACTATTTTTCTATATATGGAAAATGATCCTCATTGGATTCTTTTCTTAAGGATCTTAGGAATCTTGTGATCGTGATCATTTATCGTACATCATGCAATTAGTTTTCATCAAGTGCAATTTATATTTAATTTTAAATTTTGAAATGATTTCTAACTGCACATGTACGATGTACGGTTACGATCACGGAATTCTTAGGATTGCCATGAAAAGAATGCGGACAAAAAAGACAAATTTGGTGAAATAATAATTTAATTAAATAAAGACAAATTAGTAAAAAAATCAAAAGAAAATAAAGCATGCATAAAGTGAGTTACTAACCTTTTTTATTTATTTTATAAAATCACAAACTGTAAATCAAGTTTCTTTAATTAAAATGAAATATCCAAAAAAAATAATAAAGTTTAAATTACAAGATGCTAATTACCGAATATGCCAACGCCTGCGTTGTTTTGCTGACGTCATCCGATTTGATCATATTTTTGTAGTAGTCTGTTTTGTCCCTGGAAGAAATAGTATATTACAGAACCCCACATGGCAAACGGCACGTGCCACGGCGACAACACCGCTGAAATTGGTGTGTAGGTTGGCAGCTGCCTCTTTTGTCTGCTAACGTTCAAATGTGATGGTTGGTTTACCATATTATGTAACTAAGAGGTGATTATCTACTAATTATATTAGTTAATTTTGCCCAATTATTGATCAATGTATGACATGTCACAATGTACAAACATAATATGATTTCTCTAATCTAACTCATTATTCATAAAACTTACGTACAAAAATGTTATGATTAATAGTCGTGTATGCGCGCGTGAGCTGATTCTGACCATTCATGCTTGACAATTAAAATCGTCTCACACGTTTGTGCGAGATCCCTTTATTGCTTAATTTATGGTGATGATAAAGTAGCCCTTGTCTTGAAATTTAGATTAACTTAAAACGCTCCATTTCTTTATATACAATATATAAAAATAAAAAAAAGGAAGCAAAGCTTATTGTCTTCGATATAGTGATTTGGTGCAATATTTTTAATACCATTTTGACTTGAGAAAGGGCGAGTGTGACAGAAATACTGTGTTGCTGTTATTTCTAATGGTTGGAAAGATTGCAAGTTGAAATCTCCTTTTGTTCAAACAAAATAAATTAGGTCATGCGCATAAATTTGGAGGATTCAAATTAAGATGATGTTAATGAATGGGCATATCTGGCAATGGAGTTGGAGGAGAAAGACATAGAAAGCAACATTATAACTGATTTTTAGTTGTTAATAAGGCTATCTAAGTCACACTCATACTAATTATTAGGCTAAGCTAAGTAAATATTGAGTGCTTGTTAATCTCAGCTAATTAAATATTTGTGCATGTTAATCTAAACTAAGTAAATATCGACTGCATGTTAAACTAAGTTAATTAAATAGGCCAGATAGCTACAATAAACATATTTTGACTTACATCATCTGTTGTTCTTGTCAAATTATCAGAGAGATGAGTCAAATACCTACTTTCAACAACATTGATATTATCCTTAAAATTGTTAATTATCACATGTACAGTCCGACAGATGTGAAGTTTTATAACAAGCCTAGGTATTAGTTTGAGGAAGGTTAAGAATTTAAACTCTTTTTTTCTTAAAAAAATAAAGGCCAACATAGAATATTTCAACAATTATATCATCGTCGTGTTGTCAATTTATCAAAAGGTCGAAGAATGCATGTATGTCATGCATTACCTAATCCGAATCCTTCTTTTGACATCACCAAACCGTTACTGCTACTCTCTGAGAATGTTTATTATTATTTGTGGTGCCCTCCGCAATCAACTGCACCTTTCGATTGAATTGAATAGATGCTATTTGTTCAAAACTAAAGGTTGATGCTCAAATCAACAAATCGGAAGTTGACACGATTGAATTAAATGTCGGCACAATAATCTGTCTTATTTTAGGCGACTACCGCGTCTCATGATATTACTAGGGGTGTGCTATCCACACACCCCAAATTACTTCTCACACACCCTTGTTAATTTCTATCCGTTGATCTTCTTCAATTCATCCGATCCGACGGCCGAAAATTAAAAGGGTGTGTGAGAAGTAAAATGGGGTGTGTGGATATCACACCCCTATTACTAATATGTTGATATGTTGTAAGCTTAAGATTTTGTCATCTGTTTATATTTGAATAGCTGAATCAATGACATTATGTGATAGTTTATAAAAATAATTATTGGTGCAAACAAAATTTAGGGGTCCACTTGTTAGAAAACCATAACCATATTTGCATGCAAGTGCGGATTTGTGATAAGCGTTATGTTCATCACATTAACGTAGCTAAATTTATACAGACCAAAAGAAAAAAAGTAGCTCAATTCATGAACTCCCCCATCAAACACAAGTTCTAATTTTTCATTGTTTGGGAACATGGTCTAATATATTAAGTGTAATAATACAATTGATTGAATTTTTTTTTCAAGATTCTAACCAATTGTATTATTATTTTTAGTGTATCAGATTTTGTTCCCGGCACACAAAAAATCTCTCCTGCTGCATCACGGCATAATCAAGCTACTATAAAATATAGGATCAATTCTCAATATTGGGACCAATCTACATACTTTGACTAATTTATCCCATCCTCTCCAATCACATGAAATCCCATCGTTTTCCTTTCTTCCAAATTAAGGAACAAGGGCCTTTATTTGTTTCAACATTTTCAGTACTTCAATAAAAGTCTTATTTTTCCTTGTCGACAAGACACTCCATTTTCTTGTACAAGCGATATTGACAGAGCGAAACTAAACTAAATCTCTACAAGTCCCTCGTAACAATTCACTGGGTATAAAAATCTCAAAATGATATGATTTTTATCAAAATTGTGTTACGTACCTTGAAGAGTTTGCATAATAAACTTCTAAAAGAGTTTAAAAATAATCTTAGAGGCACCAACTCTTATCTCAAATTATATTCTATGCTTCTAACATTCCATTTGTTCATGTTTTGGTTGAACCTCGTCGATTTGTTCCTTTTTTTTGTTAATCACACATTACACAATGATTCAGACATTTTTTTTTACATTTTGTTTACGATTTTTGGACAATTATTTACATTTTAGTTAAAAAAAATGACGTTCATACACTTCTTTTCCTTATGTACCTTCATATCAAATTGATATCAAACTAGCAATCTACGAAACTCGAACTCAAAACCTCTCATTAACATTTTGGTTAGGGTTGAAGTGTGTCAAAAACCCACAATGTTTGATTGTAAATTTCTCAGGCCCAGTGACCCAAAACTGTCCAAACCACAAGGCCCGTAATTAAATCAAACGTGGGCCGTGATTTCAGATCCAAAATTGTCTGCGCCAACCAAACCAACCACCAAATCCTCATCACCTTCTTCGTCCCCACCATCGTCGAACCATCTGAATCTCTTTCCGTCTCCGATCGCATTATCGCAAACCCAACGAGAGATGCAGACCCGGTTCACAGCCCTAGCGGCTCGGATCGTAAAATCGACCGCCCGGTCCTTCTCCTCCTCCACCCAAACCCCGCCCTCAACCGCCACTTCCTCCTCCCAATTCCCCCAAACTCTGGCAGGCCTGCGGGCCCGCCTTGCCGCCGAGTCTCCGATACTGACGGACTTCGTGGAAGGCGAAGGCCCGTATTCTGTTGAAGTCGGAACCAAGAAGAACCCTCTCCCGAAACCGAAATGGATGAAGGAGTCGATCCCCGGCGGCCAAAAGTACACTCAGATCAAGAAAAAGCTCAGGGAATTGAAGCTTCACACGGTGTGCGAGGAGGCCAAGTGCCCCAACCTCGGCGAGTGCTGGTCCGGCGGCGAGACCGGCACCGCCACTGCCACGATTATGATTCTTGGTGATACGTGTACGCGCGGTTGCAGGTAAGTTGTTTGATGAAATGCGCGTGTGAGATAATTGCTGTGTCTAATGGATTTTGCATTGATGGGAGTTTTTTGGTTTTGGGTTGAAATTTTCAGGTTTTGCAATGTGAAGACTTCCAGGACTCCGCCACCGCCGGACCCTAATGAACCGACGAATGTGGCGGAGGCGATTGCGTCTTGGGGTTTGGATTATGTGGTGATTACTAGCGTGGACCGGGACGATTTGCCCGATCAAGGGAGCGGACATTTTGCAGAGACCGTGCAAAAGTTGAAGGTGCTTAAACCCAGCATGCTCATTGAGGCTTTGGGTATGATTTTGTTCTTTAATTAATGAATTTGTTTTAGTATAATGTGTGAATTAGGATGATAGAGTCAGCTCGGTATGGAATTCAGAACATTTACGTTCATTCGACAAAATATTGCCTTTTTAAGCTTATATGAGTAAGAGGTTGTGAGTATTAAGCTAATGGATGTGAAGTTTGGCAATTATGCGATTAGAGTTCATATGTGCTGTTGATTTTGCATGTTTTCTTGTAGTTCCTGATTTTCGGGGAGACTCGAGCTGCGTAGAGAAAGTTGCAACATCCGGATTGGATGTCCTTGCTCACAATATTGAGACAGTTGAAGAGCTTCAAAGGGCAGTGCGGGATCACCGTGCCAATTTCAAGCAATCTTTAGATGTTTTAATGATGGCCAAAGACCATGCTCCTGCAGGAACACTTACAAAGACTTCAATAATGTTAGGCTGCGGGGAGACACCTGATCAGGTTGTGAGGACAATGGAGAAGGTGAGAGCAGCAGGTGTTGATGTTATGACATTTGGTCAATACATGCGACCTTCGAAGCGCCACATGCCTGTGTCTGAATACATTACTCCTGAGGCCTTTGAGAGATACCGAGCTCTTGGCATGGAAATGGTATTCTTCTATCCTTTTGTTTTTAACTAAGCTGGCTATGGGAATGTCTTATTTGGCTAGGGTAGCAGTATTGCCTCCATATTTTTCTTTTCCCTGTTGACTTGATATGTAGTGTTTCCTTTTCTCATTATTAGTATTCACTTCGTATCACTCGGATAGGATACCGAATTTTAGGTTAAGCTATTTATATTGGGAGTTCAACATGATAAACAAAAGATCTACTGGCCCGCCTCACCTATATAAATTTGTTCACAAGGATCTCATGGCATGAATTAATACAATACCATCTCACCGTATCAAGCTTACTATCATATGATCCTCTTTTATGCATAACAGTTTAGTAACTGTATATTTTGAATGGAACAGGGATTTCGATATGTGGCATCTGGTCCCATGGTAAGGTCGTCATACAAAGCTGGTGAATACTACATCAAATCTATGATAGAATCAGACCGGGCTTCATCTTCGCATGTTTCTGCCTCGTGATGAGTGGGTTTGTTTCCTACACAGAAAATCTTCATGTCTTCTTACCATGAGGTTTCAGTCTGTATTATTTTCTCTCCTGCTCATTCTCTGTATTGTACAAGTGCTGATTATAGAGGGCCCAAGCTTACCTGGTCTTGTTACGATATCGGTTCCAATTGTGTTCTCAATTCATTGTAATTATCAGATATCCCTCTGGTGTTGAGGTCTTATATTCTTGTGATTGTTGCTGTTAATCAGCTAATTAATACTTAATAACAAGAATCATTGCCCGTTCTTCGATAATAGATCATGTATACGTGCTCCGTTTTTTGTTTAGGATTCTAGTTTTGGCGCTAAACACGCACGAAATGTCCAACGCGGATTGCTGGAAGCTGCCTTCCGATGATCCATCTTATAAAACTTAATACAGTATCATGATGAAGGAATAGGCAGGGTAGTTAAATATTCCTTGCTTGTTAGTCCCACCTGTTTGTTGGTAGCAGTACTTAGTGCCGGTCCTACTCTGGTCCTAAATTCTGTATTTTCTGGGGGCTTTCAAGCCCAATGTCTTCAATTTGTAGGTCACAAGCTCACAGGCATCTGCTCTGGGGACCATATTGAGTATTGAAGGTGGTGGCGTGTGGGGTATCTGATCTTTCTGCTTTGTTTTCTTAAACTTATGTCCGTACTAAAACTCTCTCTTCCATTTGAGATTTCTTAAAAACTTGGTTAGGCCAACTAATAAGATGTTACTTGTTAGGTAAACGTTCAGCAATAAACGTATCGACACCATATTGACATTTATATGATTGAAGTATCGACTCGTTATCAATAATATATGATTATGCTTCGATATGGTTATTGAGTTTAATGATATCTAATATCAAGTTTTGCACCTCTTGTATTCAATAAAATGTAAAATAAACGGGTGAGTACCTTTTGGTACGCAGATGGGACGGGACGGAACATGACGGAACAGATGATGTAAGTATTGAAAAAGATAAGGAGAAACTTTGTCATAAAATGTTATAAATTTGTGTTCCACGGATGTGGAACGGGTCGTTCCAGGGGGAAGAGGTAGAACGAAAAATCAGCCAAATTTCGTCTCATGGAACAACTTCTTCCACAGTTTTTAGGCGCACCAAACGTGGGACGGAACGGCTCGTCCCGTTCCGTCCCGTCCTGTCCCATGTACCAAACGGTACCTAATGGTGCGGACGGAACGGAACGGGACGGAACGGGACGGGACGGGACGGAACGAAGGTGTAATTTTTGAAAAAGCCTAAGGATGCGTTTGGTACGCAGACGGAACGGAACGGGACGGAACGGGACGGGACGGGACGGAACGAAGGTGTAATTTTTGAAAAAGACATGGGGTATATTTGTCTTAAAATGGTAAAACATTGCGTTCCACAAACGTGGAACAAACCCGTTCCAGGGGGGAGGTGGAACGCAAAAACACTCAAAATCTGTCCCGTGGAACAGCCCGTTCCACCCATTTTTGGCGCACCAAACGCGGGACGGAACGCCTCGTCCCGTTCCGTCCCGTCCCGTCCCACGTACCAAACGCACCCTAAAAGAACAGATTATTTACATCACATTCATGATTCATTTTAAACATTAATATTTTGATACACTTAATATTACGGAATATTGTAGTTGAACAAAAAATTTAAATTTACTCTTTTTTTGGGCAAATCTTTTATGGTTACTCAAGAAACCATATAATAATAGGGCAAGGATATACTTTTTAATGTGGTAGAAATACACGCTACCATTAACTGTCATAATATAAACGGTTAAAAACTTGAAGAAAAAAAAGTCTAACCACTTTTATTATAACTCGTGAGCGTGTTGGGTTACTTTTGTGTCCACTTATATAATATTTACGAGTGTAACCGAGTCCACCTGCAGCTCTCCTCTCACTGTCACCCCCAATCCCTTTCAATTTCATTCAGATTTCAGACTCTCTCCAATTTATGACCGTTAAATTTTCAAATCTTAATTTCCCACCTCCACTTCACTCACTAGTCCAGTAGCACAAAAGGACTCTCTGAAAGCTGAAAGTCTCTGCTTTAAAATAAAACCATAAAATGGGTTGTTGTCTCGGCACCGCCAAGACCCAAAACCCACCGCCACCACACCACCACCCAAATGGCCCCAACAACAGCCACTTCCACGCCAGATCCTCCCTCGCGGAACCCCACCCGACCCGTATCCCAAAACCCCAACTCAAAGCCGCAGCACCGCCGAACTCACGGCCGCCGGTTGTTGAAATCGAAGAAGAGTCGGTGAAAGAGGTTCTCTCCGAAACCCCAATTTTCAAACCCCAAATCCCCAAAATTACCCCAGAGTCGCCTCCGAAGCTCCAACCAGAGCAGCCGCCCAAAGAGCTTGCCGTCGACATCGCCGACTCCGCCGAGCCTTCCCAGGCTTCAGAGCCTTGTGGGGTCATTCTCAGCGAGAGCTTCTCATATTCGACGGCAACCACCGCCACCACCATAACTGACGCCAGAGACGACGAGGTTACGAGTAAGCAGAAGAGAGATATGGGTCCCAGAGTGCATGGCGCTTCTTCAACGGCGGCGCGTAGCAAGCGTCCTTACTCCGGCGACCTCGCCGCCCGGAGGGAAAGAGCTGCCAGACCTCTGGCGAGGGCATCGGAGCCTTCGATGGGGAAGAGGAATCGAACTGAAACGAGTTCGTTTCGCGGGAGGGAATCGGGTCAGCTGAGTACTATGCAGCAGCGCAGTGGTGGCCCCACTGGAGTGAGGCGCGATACGGTGTCGTCCAGGTCGAGGTCACCGGCTACCCGGACGGCCGGTGGAGTGGGTCGAGGGGGCAGGGGAAGAAGCCCGTCGGCATCTAAGGTGACTGGACCAGCTGGTGGCAGTTCCTCGCAGCTGGGAGTGGGAGGAGTTGAGAAGCAAGGCAAAACTAAAAAGGAGGAGGAACCAAACGGCGCCGTCGTGCAGCAAGGGAATGAGGGTAAAACAAGAAAGGAGGAGGAACCAAACGGCGGGGTTTCGCAGCTGGGGAATGAAGGTAAAACTAGAAAGGAAGACGAATCACACGGCGGCGTTGCGCAGCAGGGGAATGAGTCCTCCATCGACAACCCTCTGGTTTCATTAGAGTGCTTCATCTTTGTCTAAAGTTGCTTCTTTACTGGTTGCATTTTGTCAAAACAAAAGTGCTTTTCTTGTTTCTGAAAGTACTGTGGAATCAAGCACTTTCCTAGCAAATGTTGGCAAAACATGTTTTGCTTTCTGAAACAATGTAAATTATCTGGAAAATGGTATAAAGATCGAGTCTTTTATCTAAATGTTGTTCGTAATTTGTGTGAATTAGTTATGAGCACCCTTCATTTGGAGAGGATCTTGTGTAAGCCTACGACAGCCGCCGCATTCGGCCTCTCCCTCAATCGGATGAGACCATGGGCAATAACGGCCTCTCCCTCAATCGGATGAGACCATGGGCAATAACGGGAAAAGGGAATATAAAGGTCTCTCTTTCTATGAGTGGCTGCACAGCGCGTGCTCCGACTGACAGACCTTGGTAGCTCGATGCAGGATTAAAGCACGGTTTGTGTTGAGATTTGCAAAATTGTGGTTTGTGGTGGTTTTTTTCTCTTTCAAATGTTTGAGATTTGCAAAATTGTGTAGGGATATGTTTGTCCTGGAATCGGTATCTTCTCTTGGAATGGGATGGGATGGGAAAGACAAAGACATCTCAGTACTTTCCTTTTCAAAATTGGTTTTGGTGTAAGCCTTCGAGGGATACAAGCTTCCGGCATCCCACTGTTTCTAGGAAATTTCCTGTCGTCCCTCTCGGTTTTTCTTCGTTACGTGTCCATACCAAGTGGAACTTCACATCGTTAGAGTGGTACGTTGCAGCGTTGCTCCATCGGAGTGGAATGTTCTACACCAAGCACAACACTACTATTTCAAGCACTACCACTGCAAACATAAACGTTACCACTTTTGGCACCATGTATTGCACTTAGACCTAGTTTGGGAGTGAGGTGCTTAAAAAAAAAGCACCCATGAAAAAAAGCTGTGAGGGTTTTAGGTGTTTGGTAAACTGAAAAAAAATGGCTTATTTTGGAAGCTGCTGTGAGAATAAGCTGAAATCAAAGGAAAAAGCTGAAGCTGCTATTTGCAGCTTTGGAAAAATGGCTTTTTTTTCAAAGCACACGGAGCTACAGGGCTTCTTTAATGAAAAGACCCACTATTTGACTGCTTTTTTTTCCAAAAACACTTTTACAAAAAAGTTTACCAAACACTCTGCTGATTTATTTTACAGCCGCTTATTCTCACAGCACAGCCGCTTATTTTCACAGCAGCTTTTTTTCAAAGCACAGCAATACCAAACCAGCCCTTAGCGCATTCAAACAATGAAGGAAATTCAGTCATCGTTTTCAGGACGAATGTATTACTAATCCTTGTTTCGGGTTTACTCAATAGAGGATTATTTTGATATTTAGAAATTAAACACCAAGAAAATCAATTTGAGAGGACAGCCAAAGCTTTATACATAAAACGGAATATGTACATGTGATTGTTGTTCTGCTAATGAGTCTCGGTTCCTGGCTTCCTCCTACGTTCAAAAGACTAATGTGATCGTCAACGAACCCTAATTCGATCATGTCCGAAACCAAAAGGACTAACGAAAACTAGGTTTTTCTTGTCGATATCCCTGTCTTGTTTCAGCTTGAAATTTAGCTCGAAGCAGGATCAAGGCACGGTTTGTGTTTGATGGAGAGGCCAAGCGATGCGCTCCGGTAGACACGGTGCAGGAGCAGGATGTGCAATGAAGGTAGGCATATCTTCCCCAGGCATCATCACAGATACTTCTCTGGCATAAATTCTCATCTGCACAAATTTGATACAAAACATATAAATTGGAGTATGTGTTGGTTTTGGTCCTTTGGGAAGCTACCATGGCAGCAACCCAAGTGAGCAAAAATAATTTTCTATCACATTGTAGCAAGCAAAACGATAATGCTAATATTTTCAAATACCGGATATTTAAGCGGTATTTCACATGTCATAATATAAGTTTGCTTTTTTTCACTTATTTTATGACACGTGAAGTATCAGACACTTTGAATGAGAAGAAATGTCCAAATTAATTGCTAAAACCAAAGAGGGTTCTGATGAGGAAGATACTTTTCTGGCGTGGTTGGTGGCTTTTAACTTTAAAGATTCAAATGCAGCATGCTGTTGATAATTTAATCAAAATTATTATAAAAACAAGCTTTTTAATCCAAGATTAGAGCATAAATCCTGATATTATAATCATCCCTTCACGAGCAGTTTAATAAAAAGTAAATAAATAAAATATTCCTTCAATTATATATCTTCCAAAATACTAAGCTATCAGCAGAATAGCGTAACCTTCTCCACAAATCAAGCTTTCCTCACACACCAAATTCAACTGTTATACATAAACAATATCCAATTTTTGTTTTTTTTTTAAATTTCCTAATCGCTCAATGTCGTGTGAACACGTGGTCTACGGGAAGTGATTAAGATATAACTTACTCAAGATTATATATGTAAAATGTATAGATTAACAAAAAGATTAAGCATGCATGTTGTTTTCGAGATCATAGAAGGCATAAACATTATATTTGACACATATTACATGGTAACTTGAAAGTGTGATAAATTAAAATATTTCCTAACATTGGTACTTGTAGCATGTGATTAAGTTTGCCATTCCAATGCTTAAATTTGGGGTAAATGGTAAATAGTTTAAAAGGAAAAAAAGTACTTGTTGCTAACTGATGAATTCTAGTAAGATCTTTCATAATAGTTTGAGTGAGTGTGACCTATATATAGAAATCAGGTAGTCTAAATTTGATTTCTATAACACTACTACTACAGTAATGAGTTCAACAAATTAGTTTCACACTCAAATTTTCCGGCATATGTAAAAGTGTAATTCTTGTATGAGTTTAATATATAAGTATCACACTACTTTTTTTCGGTCTACTGTGGAAGGCTTAAGCTAGTTAACACCATCTTCTATTGCCCACAATTAAAATGCGAAGGGTGTGAATCATGGCTAAAACTTAGGTGCAAACGGGTGCATATTGTGCCTATTTCTTTCCTTCTTGTCATGTAAAGAGAGACATATAGGTGCAACAAGATGTATTATATCTCTCTTCTCATGTGACATGTCATGTCAAAGAGATAAAAGCAAAGAAATAAGAAGAGTGGACAAAGCATTACAAACACTAGTAATGAAAAATAAATTAAAATATGACAAATTTTCAGTGATTTAAAAATTAAATCATAAGATTTTGGATATTAATCATTAATCAAGTAAAGCATAATTATGCAGATCCTATGAAATCTTACATATAATGCAGCCACTATAGAAACTGAAAACTCCAAATAACACCCTGTCATCTTTGATGTTTTGTTTCTTAAATCATTGTGACCTGTCCTTAAACTAAACCACCAACTCTTCAATTAGCTAAAGTGCCTAAATGTTAATAATGCACACAAAGAAACAAACGGAAATGCTAAAAAGAAAACGAAAGTGATTTCCTCGCTCTCTTTTCTCTCATGCACTCTTTCATTTCGTTTCTAGCTCTTGAATTTAATTAATTAAAGAAGAATTTACCGGTAAACACAAGAGAATGATTGCAGAAGGAGAAAACGTAAATGTGAAAATCAATATCCAAAGAAAAACATGAGTTTTCCAATTTTGGCACAATCTCGTCAAATTTCACACCTTTAGCTATACATGTACGGTGCACCCCACAGGAAAGTAAACAAAGAGAAAGAAGAGAAAATATTATTTTAAATTACTCTAATTTACAGGAAAGAGCCAGAAATATAGCCCTATCTAACTGGACTAACGCACATCTGTGTAGTAATAACAAGTAAAGGGGAAAGAAAAGCTTACTTTGTGAGAGTGGTGGTGATCAAGCTTGGAATCATTGTAGGTAATCTGTGGCTGAAGATCCAAATGAGTAGTAGTTGTAGTAGTGTGAGCTGAAGTGGGCAGCTGTGATGATCTGGGCCTGAAAAATCTCTCAAAAATAGCCATCACAAGAAACATTGAGATGAGAATAGCAGTTGCTACAAAACCTAAAGAAACTGCATTCACTGAGTTGTTGAAGCTCCTCCATTGCTCCTCTTCTCTGTCTGTATTTACTGGAGCTAGAGCAATGCCTTGCCACCTATCTTCACCGCCCATTAGATTCAGACCGAAGCCTCGCAGAGAAACCGATGAAAAAAAGAGGGAAACTCGGTTGCGCGTTTCTTCATTTCATAGTGACATGTAAACAAGAAGAGCAGAGAGAAAAATACAGAGAAACAAGGAGATGGTTGGAGGATGAAATGCCTAAGGACTCGTTTGGTTTTATGGGATAGTTATTGTATAGAATTATTATATATTGAACTTGTCTTGGGCCAAAAGTTTTTGATCTTGTATCTTTGTGTATTTTATTAGTTATTCAAACCCACCAATTCCTTTCGAGTCACCCGATAAACGAAACTTTTCAAACGAGCGTTATTCTATTCTAAATTACGGGGAGGGGAATTCAAACTTGAGTGTAAATACATTTCATAGATATAGTTGAATATCAGAGTGCACATACCACAATGAACAAACAAACGGATTACAAAACTAGAAATATTATTGATATCAAACAGAGAATGCCGAGACGGCTACAAAAATCCTAGAGACTACATTGTGACTAACTTGTTAATTATACAAGCTACAAAACACCATATATATAGATAACTAACATAACCCTAATAAGCAAGAAAACGAAACCCTAATACTAACGGGCTAAGCCCAGAAAACCAAACATTAAAGTAAACCTAATATTTTCCAACACCCCCAGTCAAACTCATGGCGGTATACGACATGGGTTTGCAAACAAGCAGATGTGGACTGGCTCCGTTAGGGGGACAGACAGATAGGCAGACAGGCTCCGCAACGCGGACAGACAGGCAGGCAGGCTCCGCAACGCGGACAGATAGACAGGCAGGCTCCGCAACGCGGACAGACAGACAGGCAGGTGGATATAGATTCACATGGCAGAGGGCAGACATATTTCGTTTGAGCATGGACCTTGTCACTAAACGGACGAGATTCCAATAGCCCAACGGCAACAAACAAGCAGACGAAAACCTCAACAATAATCACTCGAGTAATCAACAATCCAAGCACTCGAACAATCGTTGTGGGTACAATAGCAGACGACCATAGTCATTCTCCAAAACAATCAACAAGACCAACGGCAAGCCCAGCTTCTAATACTTTTGCATTTCTTTTTCTTTTTTTTCTTTTTTCCTTTTCCTCAAACATCACTTTTTTTTTTCTTTTTCTTACTTTTTATTCTGCTTCCTTTTTTCCAATGGTTTTCTCCAGAACGCGTAAACCAAGCGCGAGTTCTGGTCAACGAACAATGGGAACGGCAAGCAAGCAGTGGGTGCAGGCAACAAGCGGGTCGGGTGCAGAGATTCAAGCAGGCTCATGGGTACGAATCAACTGCATGTATTTGCAGCAAGTTGGTGTGGCTTTATCAGATCCGGTCTGCACGGCGCGCAAGCAGGCGAGCGATGTGGGTTTACAGCAGGTGGTGGTAAGACAACGGGGTTGTAGGCGGGACATGGTGGCACTGGGTGTAGGCGTGGCGGGTTGGCGCGGTGATGTCCTGATGGTAGGAGCACGCTGGTGATGTGGGGTTCGTGGCGGAGATTCCAAGTTTAGTAGAGGACGATGACATGACGCAGCAAACTGATTCAAATTTTTTTTTTTTTTAAAACATATAACAAAACCCTAACTACTACCAGACAGACAAACCAACAAAACATACCATAACGAACTGATACGCAGTGGACAAACAAATGAACAAATTGATATCCATCCAGAACAGATTAAATTCCGAGGAATCAAACCCGCTCTGATACCAAGTTGAATATCAGAGTGCACATACCACAATGAACAAACAAACGGATTACAAAACTAGAAATATTATTGATATCAAACAGAGAATGCCGAGACGGCTACAAAAATCCTAGAGACTACATTGTGACTAACTTGTTAATTATACAAGCTACAAAACACCATATATATAGAGAACTAACATAACCCTAATAAGCAAGAAAACGAAACCCTAATACTAATGGGCTAAGCCCAGAAAACCAAACATTAAAGTAAACCTAATATTTTCCAACAGATACTTAACACATACTGGTACATAATCTGCAATGCCAATTGAAATTTATACCAAGATTAACAACTGATATTAAGTTGATGTAAATACATTGATAATAAAAAATAAAATTAGCTTTTGATAGATAATTCAACATGTACATAGTTTCAAGCTGCAGCATCAGCACATTAGGCGCCTCGGACATCTCACAAAAACTTGTTACAAAATCTGTTTCTTTTCTTAAAGAGAAACTGCATCGGTCTTGTCCGGTAAGAGAAGGCTCTCTTCATAAGAATCAACAGAGCAATATGGTCCACAAATCTCAAGACTTTCCATTTGTTTGCTGACAAGGTCCAGGGAAACAAGTTCATGCTTTGATATATTGGTCTCGAACCCAAGTTGCCTGCCTCCTTTAAGAAGCATTACTAATACTTCACCGTTCCTTCTGAAACATAACGCCCGAGGAAAAAGTCTTTCGGGACCCTGTGGACCGAGATTAATCAATTTGGTCCATGACTCCTTCACGCCATACTCCTTCATCACCCATATTTCAAGATAAGAATCTTTAGAATCGGCGTTCATCACAAATAGAGCTATAAATTTTTTGTCACCCGAAACAGACAACAACAATCCCAATATGTAACTCCATATGACACTCGATGGCATCGACATCTTGCAAAATAACTCATTGCCTACGTCAAAAGTCAATATGAAATGATCATCCCTTGCCCTACTTACTGCAGGCCAATGAAGAGCCCCATTGAAAAAAAGGTGTTTTTCTCTTCCATATATTGCACATTGAGGAGCAACCGAACCAAGACTCCTCCACGAGCCAGTGGCTAGTGAATAAACTTCAGCCATGGTTGGACCTTGAAGTTTATTTTTAGGGGTGGCAACTCTAACAACCTTATAGTCAGATGTCATCGCATCATAACCGAATCCAATAGCAGCATCAAACCCGCCATAATTGGGAATGCTGTTATACATGGGAAAAGTAATACCAGGATTGGGAAGGGTTACTGACTTCCTAATTATTGGGTTCCATATTATGAAGCTGTTACCATAACATGCCATATCATCTGCAAAGCATACCAGACCATTACAAATACCAACAACGCGAAGAATTTCATTCTTCAGTTCTTCCTTGAGAGCACTCGGAAATTCTATCTCGAAGTTCTTGTCAAAATCCTGGTTATCATAATGCACAGAAAAAACCTCTTGTCTTATTTTGGACACAACCGTTCTGTGGCGGTGGGTTCTAACAGAAGTTATAAGATGACCAGAAACACTGTGGACTAGGAAGAGGTGAATGTCATTCTGATTATGGAAACTGATTTTTTGCCTAAGGTGGGACTGAATGAAGCTTTGGTTTATGATCATGGACCTCCATGGCTTGCACACCGAGGTGCATTGGATCAAAGATTTAATGGGTAGTCTAAATAGGATATCATGAGTGATTTCCTGAGGAAGGGAGTCGAACATTGCTTCAAATTTCAGTTTCCTTGCTTGACAAGAATCGGCAGTGAGAGATAGACTTCAGTTCCATGGATCAGTAAATGGTGGTAAGTAAGAGAAAGGCGTGAGTAGAAATGCAAAGCTATTACTAAATTACTATAAGAACACTACCAATTAATTACTCATGCACTACAAAGCTAACTAAACACTACAAATGCAATACAAATTTACTAATCATAACGCCATGGAGCTCGAAAGTTCTTTCAAAATGACTAGATGTAATACAACCATGCTGCTAATTACTAGAATAAAGGACGGTGTAATTTGAAAGTTCTTTTAAATATAGAGCATCGAGTCATATTCAAGTCCCTGCATTCCTAATTAATTTAGCCAAAGTCCCATGAAACTTTAAAGTCCTTCATCCAAATGTACCATGTGTGTGTTTGGAGTCATTGGATGAAATACTTTAAAGTTCGATGGAACTTTACTCCACAATGACAGGTTTTAGTGAGGGAGTTGTAAAGTGTATTGTTTAGATTCAAATGAATGGATTGAACTACGGAAATTGGAATCTATATGTGGTCCGTATTAGTCAAATTTCACAGCAAATATATACAAACAACTGTTTCAAAGATCGAAATGATCACATGATCGCATGCTATATTTACCTTCAGCGAGACATACTTTGAAAACTTCTTTCCAACTTTGATCTTCTTCTTCCGCGGTGCCTTCTCTGTGATTCTTTGAGGTGCATTAGCACAAAGCATATTTTGTCAATGCAAGAGATGAGCAACATAAGAACATCCGTCTTTGTATTTTTGTGCTTTTTCTAACCCATCAATTTCTTCCGAGTCACCTTCATAAAATACAAAAGAGGATACAATTTCTTTATTTCTTTTCAAAAGTGTCCGACCGGCCGTAGACGGCTTTAGAGAGAACTGTATGGGACCATTAGGTTGAGAAGGGAGAAATGGTCATATGGAGCCTTATTTTTGTGTGGACTTTCAAGCCAAAATAATTATTAAGATTCGCATGACTCTTTACTTTCCCGATATTTAAGATCGATAGAAGTAGTTCCTAAATTTGTCCATCATCAATCACTTTGGTTATTTGGTGAAAAATTCTATTAAATAAGGACCAAAATAACAAAAAACACTCAATTTAATAAACAATAAGCCAAAATGATTTGATAAAAAAAAAGTATTTTTGTGGACAAACTCACGGACCAATTTTATCAATTTTAAATCTCATGGACCAAAATGAGGAGTTATGCCAATTTGAAGGACGACGTAGTCCGATGAACTAACTCTATAATTTGTAATTTTTTCTTAGCCAAAACACGTTTTTTAGTCCGGAAAAAGTTTTTATAAAGTTTGCCCTAATATTTAGCCGAGACAAGTATTAAATTGTGCCGTATTTGGTTCTTGTAGTTTGCAAAAGCATTTCATAGATACTACCAAAGATAACGGAGACACGAATTGAAATTGTAACGAGATTCTTCCAAAGTTTCAGTTTTTATTAGTTTTCAAAAAGCTCAAGCTTACAACAATAATAGAAGTACTCAAGAAAAACTACCGGAGCTTCAGATAAAATGTTCCATGCCAAAAAACATACACCCACACACTTCAGGCAGCTCAAACATCTCACAAAAAGTCCTTACAAAATCTATTTACAAAATCTAATTTTTTTTCTTAGTGAGAGACCGCATCGGTCTTGTCCAGCAAGAGGAGGCTCTCATAAAATATGGTATTCTAAAATATTCTCAGTAAGCATAATATCTCATAAAACATAATCATTAAAATCATGTTTTTCATGTATGCATTTCTACTATTAAAACATGCATTTTAGAAGGGGTTCACTCACAGATACTCTGTTGTCGAAAAGCCATACAAATAGGAAAGACGGAATCGTCGCTAATATTCACACCTAGGCACATAAATGGTACAATTAACAAAACTATACTCAAACGATTAAATTTCGAAAAACGGATGCCATAAACGGATTCGGGACGTCGAAAAATACAAATGAGGACCTCGGGTACCTTCATGGGCCACCACGCGCCACCGTGGGTGGCAGGAAAAGTTGTTGGAAAATTTGTCGATGCCATCGTCGCTGGTGTCGTTGCCATCGCCGCCACGCGTGTACTCCACCTACCAGCATCGGCAAGCACCCATGTGGCTGGGCTAGGGTTTGGATTAGGTTTGGGCTTGGTTCCTTGGGCCAAATGCCTAAGCTACGCATGGCCCAAAGGCCTTGGTCCGAAAGGTTATGGGTTTAGGTTCTATTGGGCCTTGGGCTTGAAGGTCTGGCCCAAAATAAAAGGGTTTTTGGGTTTTTATAAAACTAAAATAAAAATAAATAAACTAAAAGGATTTGGGTTGGGTTTAAACAGGCCAAGGCCCGAAGGGTTTGGTCTTTTTAGGTTTGGGGTAAAAGGCTCATTTCTCGTCGGGGAAGAAGGCTGGAGCCTCTCGAGCTCCGATCGCCGTCGAAACTCAACCCTAGGCTACAATCTAGGTACGAAAATGAAGTGCAAGGTGAGGGAAAGCGTTTTCTTACCTTCGATTCATTGTGGGATGGCCGAAGGTGGCTAGGTTTAGCTTGAGAATCGCGGAGGTTCACCGGACCTGGTTTTGGGTGCTTTTTGGGTGTCTCAGGGCTTCACAGAGACAAGGGAGAGTGAGGGGAGGTCCACGAGGGTGGTGCTGCTGCTGCGTCGTAGTTGAGGTGCCTTTAAGGGCGTGCATAGGTATATGGGTTTGATCGGGAGAGAGTGAGAGAGAGAGAGAGAGAGAGAGAGAGAGAGAGAGAGAGAGAGAAAAAGAAAGAGAAAGAGAGATAGGGGGAGTTGGGGGAGTGGAGAGAATCTGGAAAGTGGATTTGGATTGGGTAGAATAGCGAGGGGTGAAAATGTAAAGTTCAAAATACCTTTAAGTGAATTGTGAAATTACAATAGAATTTGGGGGTGGGGTTTCACACATATAATACTACGTAATAGATTTTCTGAAAACTCTAGCATGCCATAAAAATCATTCGTAAAACATATATGTATAAACCAGTGCTCAGTAATGGAAATATAGCCGCCCGAAGGCAAATCCGTAAAACCTCTATAATCTCATCAGTGATGTACTCAACTAAGGGTATCATAGTGGCCCAAAGGCATAACCATCACCAAAGGTCAAGCTGTACGACACTGGGTTACGTTAGTGAAGAAATCATGGTCCATCACCCAAAAGTGAAGTTGTATGACTCTAGGTTATGCCAGATAACAAATATATGTATATGCAGTGGGTCCATCACCCGAAGGTGAAACTGTGCGACTCCAGGTTACGCCAGAGAAGAAACATAGGGTCCATCACCTAAAGGTGAAACTGTACGACTCTGGGTTACATCAGAGAAGGAACATATACATATAACATATCACACCGACATTAGCCCCAGGCTAGTGAAGCTAGGGATATGTCATAAATATCCTCAATTGTGTCCTATGGTCATAGACGTCTACATACCTGGTTGTGTGTATGTGTTATATGATAACCCACTAGATAAGCACCGAGAACATACCTCAAAAGTCTCATATCAAAATGCGGAGCTCCGACATGCACATATTTAGGATGAGAAAGAAATAGGGATTAAACCCAGAAGGTGGGATTTTCTGAAGAGCAAGGAAGAAGAAGAATAAGAGAAAGATGGATGGGGTTTTAAATGGGGAGAAGAAGAGAAACAATGCCTCAATCTACACCTCTCTTTATAGCTTGTTGTCCCATCTCTTTTCTCTTTTTGCAAATCCCTAAAATCACTTGTAGAAATCATCCCAAATTCTTTCTCTGCAACGGACCCCTCATCTCTCTCTCTGCAAATCGCACAAATCCCTCCCCCTATGGCGATATGTCTGTCTTCTTTTTCTGTCTCCCATCTCTCTCTATCTCAGATGCGGCATATCCTCCATCCCCGAAACCCTCATCGAATGACTACGAAGCCAAACCTGCCCCCAATTCGCTCAAAACATTAGAGGACAAAATTGCCCTTCCAAACACATCATCCCCACCGTTGAATTTTAACCTTTGATGGGCTGAATTGTCATTAACCGACTGAGGGCTGGACTTTTACAGAAAACCAACGAAGCCTATGAAAAAAAAAAGAAGCAGCCTAAACCCAACCCAGCATAGATTTGGTGGTAGTAGTGTAAATAAGGCAAAATTAAAGGACAATAATTTGACTGTAGCTAAGCTACAATCAAATTCCTCCTCAATTTTAGAATAGATAATTATGTGGGATCATAGGTTGGGAAGAGAAGAGAGGCCATATGTGAGAGAAAAACTATTTCTTTTTTTAGAAAATCTCGGCGGTACCAGAGAAATTTTCTTAACAAAAAAAAAAGTTCATCTAGTCAGGGGGACATAAAACTTACCCCTCATAATACAAGAAAAAGAGAAGAAAAAGAACATGAAAAAGAAGGGGGAACATAAACCTTACCTCCTTTATAATCAAAATGAATAAAGGTACAAGGAAAGGGGGAGGGGGGGACATAAAATCTAACCTCTCTAAAGCCAAACCTAAAAGGTCTAAACCTACAAAACCAGTTGAGGAACACCACAAGGTTAGGGAAAAAAATGTGAGACAAATTTGTACGTCCAGATGCACATTTATTTGAGAGGAGGAAGCCATGAAAACCAGCATAATCCAAAAACAAAACAGCACGAACTGTCGGTGGAGGAGAATCATGCCATACCATAGTTGGAGAAAATAAACCCATATTAACAAATTTTTCTATGACAACATTTCCTTCTGATATATGTGAGAGGCGTAGAAAGTCATCTTTTTTAATGATGTCCAAACAAATAGACCATTGTGTACGAAGAGGCCGAGGATGATCAAAATCAGTCGAATAGACAGTTACGAGAGAGAAAACCTTATTTTCATGAGTGGTTGCACAGTTACGTGGTCTAATGAACGATTCCTAGAATTTGCATTTTTTGTTCTTTAAAATTGGTTTAACATTTTTCTATAGTGAGATTTTTATTTTTCAAAAATCACTTGCAACTAAATTTGGGAAAGAAAATTCAAACTCAAGTGGAAAAGCATTATATAATTAATTTCAACAATAATTTCAAGCTGCAGAATCAATTGAATGCAGTACCAAGATTAGCAACCAATACTCATTGGCATCGATATCTCACTAAATAACTCACTACCCACGCCAAATGTCAATATAAATGATCATATGTTTGGAGATGGGACTAGCATTATTGATCATAGTACTGCAGGCCAATGCGAGCCCCATAAAAAAAAAACGTGAGCTGAAAGCCCTATGTTTGGAGATGGGACTAGCATTATATTTAATTGTCAATAATGCACCACACGAACTCTACAAATGAATTACTCAATCATTACAAATCTATTTTCCTAAAACACCACAAAAATGCAATACAAAACGCTAACCGTACAGCCATAGAACTTGAATGTTCTTTTAAGTGTGTGTTTTTGGACGAAGTACTTTGAAGTTCGAAGGAACTTCACTTCTCAGTGGTGGTATTAAGTGAGGGGAGTGGCAAAGTGATTTGTTTGGCTAAAATGAGGAGGTCGAACTATGGAACTTGTAACCTACATGTAGGTTTTATTAATAAATTCAATAGCATATATGAAAACAACTGTTCAAAAATAGAAATGATCACATGATCGTATGCTATTTTTACATCAAACACCATGTAACCAGGCATACTTTGGAAGCTTATTCCTGCGATTAGCTTCTTCTTGCCTGGTGCCCGTTGCCCATCTCTGTGATACTTGGAGGAGCATTGTAGTGTAGTGTGTATTTTTTCAACGTAAGAGATGAGGAACAGGAGTCAAGCAATTGAGGTCTTTGTACCTTTTATGCTTTTTTTTTTATTAAATTCGATTTTCAAACCCATCAACTTCTTCCGAATCACAAGGGACATTTAGATCTAGGTACAAAAACATTCTACTTTTGAATTGAGTCCAATTCCATGTTCTTATCTTTGACAAAAAAAAATAAAAAATCCATGTTCTTATCAATTTAGGTTTAGTTAATCTTTTCTTATTCCCGTTTTGCTCTTTATAATAAAAATGAAAATATATTTACATTTTATCCATCATTTACTCAAAATTAAATTTTAAAATCTGTAAATGTCTTGAATTTACCCAGTGCCTAAGAAAAAAAATGTAATATTTATGCATAAAAAATAGCAACCCCGAACCAACAAAGCTCCTTGCTTTGCAAGAATCAGGGGAAAGGAAGTGGGGTGGTGGGAGGGAAATGTCTACCGTACGCAGTCTTACTCTTGCTTTGCAAAAGGTTGTTCTACTACTAGAACCCTTAGCATTTTGGTCCAGTGACCTTTCGGTCATAAAATATGCATATGAGTGTAAAATCATGACTTAAGTGAACTAAAAAACATTTAAAAATCACAAACAAAAATATATGTTTATAACAACAAAAAACTTGTTGATGTAGGTTGGTAATTCAATTCATCTGTGATACAAGTAGATTGGATAGTGAAGGTACAACGAACTAAAAATTTGAATAATCAAATCGTCGCATTTGTTTGAATAAACGGAGAATATATATGGGCTCGGAACAGAGAGATTTTTTAGTGTGATCGGTACACGGGGTGATACATCACATGTCACTATACAAATGGTGGAATATGTGTGCTAAAACGTTAATAACTTAAAAAATAAAATTTTCCACCACTCCTATTAAAACACGTGGTGTACCACTTGTATTCCCGTCACAACTAAAAATTTCTCCTTAGAACATTGAAAATGCCTCAATTTCCAAAATCTAGGTCACTTGAATTTCCCACGCGTCGCAGTGCATGCACTCATTGGTTTTCGACGAATAGAAACCTAGTTTTCCAACTAATTCCAAATCCTACCAAGTTTTACAGCCATATGTATCTCAACATGAGAAACAACTTTTGTACTACTACAAGGTCTAAAAGTGGACGGAAGACGACCAATTTTGTCGGTAAAGACTGTTCACTTTCAAGGCTCGTAACTTCTTCGTTTAATTTCGATTTGTGAACGATTTTTTGTTTAAATGCTCATGGAATCAAGTTTTATCCATGTATTCTAAACCCATCTCCAAACACCAAAGTAATTATTAAAATGACAAAATACCATTGAAAACATTTTTCCAAAACTGTAAAATAAATAAATAATAATTTTGAGACGGGATATCACACTCCTCTTGTTTCTCCTTCACTTTTATGCTTCTTTATGTCCCTTGAACTTTCACCTTAATTTTCAATTTGTCCTTATACTATTTTTTTTTGTGTCAATAGATAGATTTGTTAGATTGAATGTTAGATTAAAGAGTCAACGAGATTCGAACCCAAACCATGGTGCAAGAGCAACACTCATCTCCATCACTGTGGTAGAGAGAGGGCTAGTGGCTCTAAACATTTGTTCATTGAGGTCCATGAGTTTAACAAAATGTGCACTATTGATATTCTCCACCGTTACTTATGTAAAAAAAAAAATTATATATATATATATATGTATATATTACCATTAATCTAATGATGTGACATATATGTGAGTCCCGCATATCCAATCTAACTATGTTTTAGGACCAAAACTAATATATCGTGAAAATACAGAAACTATGCATTTGTTTAATATATGATATATATATATATATATATATATATATATGTATGTATTATTAATCTAATGATGAGACTCATGTGAGTCCCGCATATCCAATCTAACTATGTTTTTAGGGAACACAGATCCTTTCTGGATCTGAGCTTAGGAATCAATAGATCCAGACCATTAAAATTTGATCCAATGACTATAATTATTATAATTTTTAGGAGAACTCCCTGTTTGTAGTCGTTTGATCAAATTTCAATGGCCCGGATCTATTGATCCTTAGGCTCAAATCCAGAGAGGATCTGTTTCCGTTTTTATGGACCAATCCAAAACTTAACTATGGTGAAAATTCAGAAACTATGCATTTGTTTAATATATGACCTTTGGTTTGTATATATATGGGTACACTTGTGTTTTTAAGGAACTTTAACAAAAAACTTCCGATATTGTTCACTTTAACGAAAAACTATATTTTTACACTAAAAATCAATCTTGGTACTATTCACTTTACCCTTTATTTTGTCCTTAACGTTAAAACTCAAAGTTTTCAAGTCATTTTCATTAGTTTTCCTTTGTTTTTATAAAGAGACATGCATTTAGTTTTAAACATATACCAATGAGTTTTAGGTATGTTTTTTTAAAGGGTTGTGCTATCCACACACCCCTTTTTACTTCTCACACACCCCTTGTTAATTTCTGTCCGTTGATCTTCTTCAATTCATCCGATGTGACGACCGAAAACCAAAAAGATGTGGGAGAAGTAAAAAGGGGTGTGTGGATATCACACCCTTTTTTTTAAACAATTATTACTTACATTTGTGTTTCTGCGGTACGTTTGATTTTAAATGTATCAATATCACTATTTTAAAAATCCTTGCCTAGTGCCGCCTAGGCTCCACCTAGGTGCTAAGCAGCTGGCCAAAATCCCGATTAATGCCTAGACGTTTAAAAATTAAGAAAAGGCGTCTAGACCTTTTGAGGTGCCTGCCTAGACCACCCAAACCCGCCTAGACACCTGCCTAAGTTGTGACTAACTTAGATAGAAAATAGATAACTTTCTTTTTGCATTTTATTATTTCCAATAAATTGTAAGAGACTTATTGAACATTTAAATAAACACACATTATATGTTTGCTCCTCATGTTTTCATTATGTTCCAATATTTCATAATATATATGTCATTCTATTTTCTAGTTTATGATGAAATTATATATATTTTAATTATAAATAGACACTTATTTACACGAAATACAATAGATTTACTTAAATCCGCCTAGGCTCCGCCTAGCCACCTAGGCGCTAGGCCAGCTAGCCACCGCCCGACTAGCGCCTAACGTTTTTTAGAACCTTGATCAATACGCTTTAGGTACATTTTGTTTTAGATGGGGCCATTTTGGTTTCCAATATACATAAGATATAGTTTTGCTAAAATCTATGTTATCATTTTAGTCTAATTTTAGTTTATATTCATTAAAAGAAGAAAAAACACTAGTACACATTAGTGCTAATGTTTTTTTTTTCTTTTCAAAAAGATACGATAGCAAATTTCATTTCATCAAAGAGTTGCAATACATCGTTTCATCCATAGCCTGTTCCAAGGCCTTACACTTTCTTCTACAAGTAAGTCAGTAACTACACTTGGAGTAGGAGGAGAATTATTCCATTCACAGCTTTGCCTCTGAGAGAGAGACCAATCCGTACAAGTCGGTGGGCAACTAAGTTTGCATTGCGGCGAGTATGGTAACGATAGCAGCTTCAGTGATTGAATGGAGTAGCGATTTGGTGTCCTCCACAATTTGTCTAATTGATGAAAAATTGTGAGTAGGATCCCCCAACGCCTCCACAATCTGAAGGGAATCAGTCTCAAAATAAATCTTGAAAATCCCTATCAACTGCCCAAGCCAAACCCTCCCTGAAAGCCATAGCTTCCGACTGAAGAGGAGCGAAGACATCCTCAAAATTCCCACAATTTGCTGCCACGAACACCCCTAGCTCATCCTCAAAATTCATGGTAGTGGTTGTGCTTGTTGTATACGAAGGGGTCCATTAATATTTAAATCCTAAGAAACTATACAAGTTTGAATGGTAACTTTGTCAAAATCCGCGACTAACACTAATATATCCTCTATTGTTTTCTTAACAAAAGGTTTTACTTTTATGTGTTATAATTTGAAGAAGCTGTCGTTTTTATCCTTCACTTATAGGAATGTCTATACATTGAATGTGCACAAAAACTCTACAAATAAATTGGCGACATTAGATAAAGTTAAACTTTATTTCTGATCCAAACTCATGATTTTGACATGTAACTTATCTGATCCGGAAGAATTTAACCCTCCATATCCGTTTGCCAAATACAATAATGTTGCTAATTAGCATATGCAGTGCTGTAAACCCTTTTAGTGGTGCATAAATTGAGAATGCTCAAGAGCACCTTGTTGCTAGTGCACCTAGGGGTCTTGAATTGGCTCAATGCCGATCCATTTCCTATGAAATATTCCAAAATTTTCTTGAACGTTCCCTTCTCCACAATCCGAAGCTCTAGAGGTCCGATCGAATTACTTCGCCTCGAGACAACGTAACCATGATCCACGAAAGATGCATCCATTTCTCTGCAACATTCACCAAGAACCCTCTCTTCAACTTCTCCTTTGATCTCCCAGTATATTATGTAGTGGCCTGGTTGGGTCAGCACATCAGCATGGCTTGTGAAGTCAATCAGTTCTGCTTTGGACTTGCTCAATAGTTGAGACCCTCTCTCCACCACCATTTGAAGGTCCTTTTCAGTGTTTTTGTCTATGTTTACTGTCAATATAAGCTTTCTCCTGCATATAAAGTTCAATTTTGGAGTTCCATTGTGGAAACCTGCCACTTCCACCACATCTCCTAGCCTGTACCTATAAAGTCCTGAAAAATATAGAGAGCAAAAATACAATGTTATACAAAAAACAATTTATAGAAAACTAAATTTGAACTTGAATACAAAGAGAATAAACACAGTATCATAACCAATTGAAATAATTAACGTACATTAACAAATTTCAAGTCTTTTTAGAGGTATAGAAAAAAACAAAATTTTGCTTTTATTTCCATCATCATGGAGATCCCACTAGGGATCTAGAATTCGCAATGTGGTTTGAAAAAAATGGTTTAAAATATTGGTATCAATAGCATTTTAATTTTGTCCACGATATTGTGGACTTAATTTTGTCCACGTACCCTATAAGTTTATAAGTGCCTAATTTTTCCAAATTGCAACTTGTGGCCCACGTGTCAAGGGGGGAAGGGGACCAGATTTTTCTACGATTGACGCTGATATTTAAATAATCGACAGTCCACATGTGTGTGTTCATTAAGCTTTGGTTTGTTGTAGGATGGCATGTACCAATGATCGATGCCTAAACATGTCCAATTTAAGGGTATAAAGTCATTTTGTTATAGAGTTTACCAAATTATAAAAAAAACAAAAAACAAAACAAAAAGAAGTGATTTTGTTATATAATGAAAAGTCGCCACTTGTAAAGAGTATTTTGATAATTCAATTTCTCGCACGTGATCACTTTTGTTGAAACAACAAGTTGAATTAGACTATTAAGGATGATAAAGAAAAATTCATGCAAAGCTAAATAGTACATGCTTCTATTTGGGTATTAGGGTTTTACTTTGTAGAATTAGACTATAAGAAATAATTTATGGACACCAGTATGTATTTTTGTCATTTGATTTTTTTTACGGGTTTGTGTAAGAAAAAGAAAAGAATGTGAGAAACATAGAAAAACACCAGTGATTGCTTACCAGTGAAAGTAGTGAGGACAATCTCATACTCTTGTCCAACCTTGACTTGTGACAATGGTACTGGTTTATCTTCTATGAAATCATCAATGACCAAATTGTAATCTTGCTTCTGTCTATGAAGTGGTATGAACTCAAAGTAGGAAAAAGTCGGCACCACTGCAAATGTCACATCCTCCGGAGGCAAACAAGGATCCACATTCACTCCAATCCAACTCTCAGTTGATCCATATTCTGCACTTACTAGCGGCACTTCCGCTGCATATCGCCGGAGTTTTTTCAAATACGGCTGCATTGATCCTGTCATTATAGAGTACACATACTTGGCATTGGGCCAAAGCTTTGGAATCAGACCAAACCAATCCAAATCCTCCAGCTCCTCGCAACAAGCTTCAATTTTCGAAGCCAGAATTGGGTTTGGGGAGATGATATCCAAGACAGCTTTTCGCACTTTGGGGAGATTGATTCGTTTACTAAGAGTGCCGTCTCGAATGTCAATGCACAACTCCTTCCAGAGCTCTTCGAAGGCGATAAAGGACTGCACTATGCTG